AAATGTAAAGAAACCGCATACTAAACACATTCAAAGAAATAAACACGTACACATATCCTTTTACCACGCTTATGTTGTTTCGTCCTTTCTACTCACTCTTTACCAAGTTCGCGTCTCTCCCTCTCGACAGGACTGGCCCAATCGTCAAGCTGAGCGCCTTTACTTTCTCATTGCTCACCTGCTGTTCTGCTACCTGCTGCCGCTGTCTCTCATCATCTTATTCTACGTCCTGATCTGGTTCAAGGTGAGGATAGTGATGCGGAATTCTGGTTCGTGTTCTTAGGGCGCGCTGCGGGTGTTTTCTTTTTTACGTTATGTTCACGTTGTGTAAGACGAAGGGGAAGGCTAGATCAGTAGCAACTCGAGGAGGTGTCATGGCGTCTGATTCTGTTTTTGGAAGAAGCACATGGGGTTTATTTTGATGACGTCACAAAAGCTACGGATGCTTTGTGAATATGGTCGATCATTTTGGTCTTTTTAATTTTCAAAAAGGTTGGAAAATAATTATTTTAATGATTATATTTTCATTGAATCATCATCAAGTCAGACGCCATGACACCTCCTCGAGTTGCTACTGATGTAGCCTTCCCCGTAGAGATGAAGTCGTGAAAGAAGCTTCGAAACCATGTGATCCGTATCAAGGAGTCTCATTCTTTGACTGTTCTAGGCGGTATCTAGATATACGTTAATTTTTGACGTACATCAGATGTACACATAGGTATATATATATGCATTAGTGTGTCTATTTGCGGCTGTTTATTTACCTGCAAAAACTATTTATTTTCTTTGAGAATAAATGCACTTCATTTCTTACAAACACTGAAAATTCATGCCCGTAAAACACATGTACTGACGGGAAGGTCTGTTACTTATTCATTTAATCAAACATCGTAATCCATTCAAGAGTGCCAATCAGTACTAGCAAATATTAACCTAATAAGCATCCGGAAAAAGTAATTATAAAGAAAAAAAATGCACGTGTTATGTAATCATCATCAGTCGGGTGTGCGAATTAACGAAAAAAAGTCCAGGATCCTGCACCGAACACCCAAACAGTAGTCTAATCATGCAACTGAACCCAGACATAATTGCAATATAATTTATTTCTGTGGCTTGTGCTTCATCGTGACCGTAGAAGCATCATATCAAAAGTCTCGAAAAATCAGAATCGTGAAACATTATAAAAACTGACGCGTCCTTATCGATCTCTATTAAGTTCCTCTGCCGCCGCCAGCCAGCCCGAGCCTCAGCCAATCCGCTTAGACTCGCTTTTCTCAGGAAAAAAGGTGTTCATATGCTGAACAAAATGTTTATTTATTGCAGCCTGATTATCAAGCCCACATTTTTGAAGTATTACACGTTTATATCTTGCTTAGTGTATGTAAAAGTGTCTGTACAAAGTATCATATTGTTTAAGTAATTGTGATCTATAGTCAACAAATTTACATGAATACAGTGTGTTAAGTAAGAGTATAAGTAGCTGTACAACATATTTTTATATTAATATATATTCTATTATCTACAAATTACCGTGAACATAAAAACACTGCTGAGAAATGCATACATAGATAGGATATGCGCTCATCATTAGTGGCAGTCATAATCAAACAAAAAAATTAAAAACAAACCCACTGTGTTATTCTATTTGTTTAATAAGGAAGGATGCCCAGCCGACACCGCATGCTTATGTGCGTGTGTAAATTAGGACTCTTACTCGACTTACAGGTTGTGGAGCATTGAGACACCTCACTCCCTTACGCTCCTTAAGTGACAGAGAACAGTTCAATCCCTGCTTCTTGCAGCTGCATCTTACAGAGGCGCGGTCGGATCTGTAACTGCATCTGATGACATTGAACAGTGAGGGTGGAGCTGGAGGAAGGTCCATTTCTGTTAGAACTAGTTGTCCATTGTCTAAATGCCACCACCAGTCTAGTGGATATAGCCCCATTCGGCTTATCCATTCCTGCGCCTGACAATTCACAATGCCTGACAAGAGGGGGAGGGGTCAGCGGGTGACAAAGGTCGTATTTGCTGCATCCTTTTGGTCAACGCTCTCATGGCGAAGGCTCTTAAGGACACTACAGGGTTACAAGAGAAGCTTCTCCGGCTTGCCTAATGTGTGTTTTAGTTGAACATTCATAAAAAAAATACCAGTGCCTGATGTCTGAAATGTGCATTGGTATTAATGAGTTGTCACATGCAAAAAGGATGTGCTTACATATTTCATTTCCTGGATCTTTTTTGAGGCCTCTTATGTCCCATACCTTTGTGCTGTCTTTTGTATTTTGCCTTTTCTCGGATCTTAAGCAAATATCATGTTCCTCAAGACTTGCATGGTGGCACAGAAGTACCAGAAGGTCAGTGCCTTCGTCGACTATAATAATATCCTGCCATCCTGCTGTCTCCAGGTCAGCATCTCCATCAGCGTGGATCACTTGACAGCCTGTTGCTTCAAGTTTTGTTCGTGAAGTCAATTATCTGCTGCTTGTTTGCTGCATTTGTCAGAAATTTGTCCTTGAGGGACTTGCAAATCATACCATTGGTGAAGTTGACTGTAGTTCCACGTTTGATTGGCTGCGACGATGATGAGTAAAATCTTTCGTAGTAGGTCCACCCTTATATCTATCAAAACTACCAGGGTTGAAGTGCTTCCATAATTTCTTTGTACATAATCAACATGAATGCTGTATGATTCTGCAGGAGGCCATGGTCCACATTTCATCTGCTAAGGCTGATTTTTTGTCTTTTCTCATTCCAGCATTGTCAAGTAGAGCTGGGGGATGTGTTTACAATTCATATTTGAAAATTCCCCCTTTTCTTTCATATTTTCAGCTGCAACAACGCAACGCTAATACAATAGTTCAGGAGGACTTGTACACTTTCACCTTCAATCTTCACTGCATATTGGGAAGCTAGTGCGACAGCTTGTTCATTTTTCCTAAACGTGAACTCTTTTTCAGATTTGTTAGCCACTTTTCCCAGAAAGTTCATGACAACATCATTTGCTTTGTCATCATCCACAGCCCTGTCTACTATGACGACAGTTGCAATGTTGCATTGGGAAAGTTTGTGAATATCATGACTCAATTTGGACTCTTCTCTTCTTCCTGCATCAACTTTCGCCCCACATCTCCTTAGTATACCTTAATTTCATGGTTTGTTTCTTTTCTCACCTCCTGAAGTACTAAAAAAAATAATAGTATCCGCAAAAATAGGGATCTAGTTTCATTAAAAAAATATAATAAAATAAATGTGGTGAGCGGACTTAGCGCGCGATCGGCTTGAGCAAGATTTTCTATGCCAGATAGTGTGGAAGGGGAAACTCTAGCACACCGTAAGGGCGAAAAAATCATGATCTGATCATTTTCCATCGCTTTCATTTTTCTAGACCTCATTTACTCATCAAAAAGATATCCTGACTTCCTTACCTCAAGAATTATTACTTTTGCAGCTATGTCCGGGTTACCCTTCATTTTACTGTAGACACTGGACTCTAAAGCAGATAACGCATTTCTATATGGGGATGTTTCGAAGCTTTTATTCAGAAATCGGGAATAGGTCGTGACTAAAAATACCACGCGGACTAGACTAGAAGAATAATTCAGTATCAATCCAGTATTTCTCTCTTCGTTGTGGGAGTTACGCTTCTTCTGCCTGTGTGTTCGTGCTTGTGAAGTTATGATATCATTGTAAGCGTATGATGTCTTTATTCAGCTAGGATAAGGGCGTGACATCACTACAGAGTAACTGGTTTCGATGACTTTGATATCGGAAGTAGAACAAGACGTCCTCTTCTAATGTCAGTTTATTTCTTGTTCCCGAAATACTACCTAGACATATTCGCTTATATAATGCACATAAACAGATACTCGACGTGTCAAAATAGAATGACCCCCCCCCCCAAAAAAAAAAAAAATCAAAGTAAATAAAGAAGAAAGAAGAAAGAAGAAGAAGAAGAAGAAAAGGGCGGAACAGCAGTGAGCATTCACAAAAGTGATGCCCCATGACTCCGGTATCAAAAATCTTAAGTCATAAAAAGTTGCAGGACAGCCATGAAAACCCGCTCCAGCGATTCTGTCCGAAACCCCGCTTGTTCTGAAGGCGTTCAGTGGCTGGAGTGATCAGTTTGTTGGTCAAATAAGGATTCCAAGGCTGTCAATACACAGATAGGCTTCATGAAGGCTGCCAGCAAAACTTCCTATTTGCATGGTAAACGGTTTGTTGCTTCAGCGGCATCAATCACTCACTGCAAGCGAGAGAGTGTCAGCCTCCCTTCAGTGCAACATTTGTATCTCCAAGAGTATTTTATCAGGCGTCCATGTTAAAGAGGTATTCAGAATTTATGTGAAAAAGATACCAGGCATTTTAAGGTAATTTTTTGGCCAGAAGTGTTAGGCATTTATAACAAAAAGAATAGCAAGAATTATCATCAGTATCTTATTGTTATCATTAGTATCATTATCATTATCTTAAATCGTTTCCATCATCATTTATGTAATGACAAGTAATGATAATGATAAAAAGTAATAATAATGACATTATCATTATATCATTATTATTATCATGTTCCTCATCCTCATTCTCATCCTCATTATTATTGTTATTATTAATATTATTGTTTTTTTTCCTCTTATTATTAATAATATATTATTTTTTTATCATCATTGATGTTTTAAATATTTTCATTATTAATGTTTTATCATTACCATTAATATTGTCGTTATTATCATTATTATTACCATTATCATTATTAGTAACAGAAGCCATATGATTATTTTATGATTGTTTTACTATAACTTTTATTGTTATCATCATTATTATTGTTATTATTATTATCGTTATTATTGATATAACCATTATTATCTTTACTATCATCAGTGATATTACCACCCTTATCATTATCAATGTTGTTGCTGTTGTTGTTATCATTATTATTGTTATTGTCATTATTATTATTTCATTATCATTATATTATTATTATTATTATTATTATTATTATTATTATTATTATTATTATTATTATTATTATTATTATTATTATTATTATTATTACTACTACTACTACTACTATTATTATTACTGTTATTATTATTATTATTATTATTAGTCCTATTATTATCATCTCTCTCACACCCATATTTTTCCGCTCAAACAAGAGAAAGCTAATATTCACACTGTCTTAGTAACGGATTGGTAAATGTACATTTTTCTCTCCTCCCCACTTCCCCCACCCATATCTTTTTATCCCCCGTTTCTCTCACTTCCTTCTCCTTCCCCTCCCATCTTTTTCCCACTTCCCCCCCATTTCCCCCCCCATCTTTCCCTCACTTTCCCCCCTCATTCTCTCCCTTCCCCTCCCTCCTCCCCCATCTCTCCCCCACTTCTTTCTCATCTTCCCTCCATTCCCTCCTCCCCATCTTTCCCCATTCTTCCTCATCTTCCCTCCCCTCCTCCCCCTTTCGCCTCCCTCATCTCCCCAAACTTCCCCATCTCCCCCCGCCCTCAGGTGGCCAACCGCAACATCCCCGGTGACACCCGCGATGCTGCCATTCACGAGATGCAGCAGAGGAGCAAGGTCAAGGTCATCAAGATGCTGGTGGTGGTGGTCATCATCTTCAGTCTGTCTTGGCTGCCGCTGTACACCATCTTCGCCAGAATAAAGGTAATGCTGCTAGGAGACAATGCTGCTATTTAGGGAATGCTGCTCGGAGTCAATGCTGCTGTTTGGGGAATGCTACTGGAAGGTAATGCTGCCTCTGATTTTCTTTTTTTTTTCTTCTGGACACGAAGGAATGGTCATGGCGATGGTAAACAGTAATTTCTATTCTTCCTGTCTGCATTGTTTGTTATTCCGAAATGCGGTTCAGGAAGGACAATTATAACTTTGTGAATGTAGTATGCTGTAAGTCGGGAAAAGAAAAGTATATAGATATGTAGGTAGGTATTTAGGTAGATATATAGATAGAAAGATAGACAGGTGAAGAGATTGATAAATAAATAGATAATTGAATAAATAAATAAATAAATAATTGTCTAGGCAGATAAATGAACAGATAGACTGATGGATGATGGAATTGATAGATAGATAAATGAATAGACAGATAGGTGTATGGGCAAACAGATGTAGAACTATACATAAGGGAATGATGAGATAAATATACATTTGTAGATAGATAGATAGACAGATATGAATATAGATAAATATTTTCTTTATGTTATGTATCTTATAGATTTCATTTATTTAAGTGACCCTTTTGGTGGCAGGTCTATCAACTGCTCTCAGTATTAATATACTATCTCTCTCTATCTTTCTCTCTGCATCTGCCCCCCTCTCTCTCTCCCTCCGTTAATCCTATCTCTCTCTCTTGCTCTCTCCCCCCCCTCTCTCTCTTTCTCTCTCTCCTTCTGAAACACCACCACGCTCAAGGCACAGCGCCCTGTCCATTTCCTCCGTTGCATCCCCCTCGCGCCCCCGCCCGGCGTGTCCCTGAGGGCGCTACAATCCCTTCTCCCCCGCAGCTGGGCGACGAGCTGGGCGAGGACGAGGGCGCGGTGCTGGCCATCATCGCGCCCATCTCGCAATGGCTCGGCTCGTCCAACTCGTGCATCAACCCCATCCTGTACGCCTTCTTCAACAAGAAGTATCGCAACGGCTTCCTGGCCATCATGAAGAGCAGGTCCTGCTGCGGCACTCTGCGCTACGACACGTACTCGCAGTCCACCATGCGCAGGTCCTGCTACCCGGCCTACCGCTCCACCATCCGGCCCGAGGCGGGGGGCGCCATGGAGCTGGCCAGGAACACCCACCGTGCGAGCGCAGGCTTCGTGTACACGCTGGACGGGCGCCCGAACCCGCCGCGCTCGCGCTACCAGGCGGGCGGGCGGCAGCGCAGCCTCGCCAACGGCTTCTCGACGGCCCTGAGCCTCGCCGACAGCCTCACCACCACCGAGACCTCCATCGCGCAGCCCAGCTCGCGCTCCTCCTCCGTCGTGGGCAGCGCCGACGCGGCAGACTCCGAGGACAAGAAGAGCACCTTCACCAACGGCAAGTTGGACGGCGTCGATTAGGAGGCGGATCGAAAGGCCGGCAATCTCACGTGGAAAGAAAGCTGTGCCGTTCCGCAGCCGCAGCTCCCATGAAGGAGGCGGCGGCGTCTTGCGGAACCCGAGCGCCAGCGCCGAGAATTCCGCTCGAACTTCCTTCCCGTTTAGAGTGAGTGTAAGTTGTGTTCGGTGTCGACCCCCTCTGCGGTGTCCCTCCTGGCCGTGTGGCTTCAATCCCTCAGTGACAATAACTGTAGTCTCAACCTTGAAATAGGATTAAAAAAAAAAAAAAAAAATTATATATATATATATAATATATATATATATATATATATATATATATAATATATATATATATATATATATATATATATATATATATATATATATATATATATATATATATATATATATATATATATATACGTTGGTAACAAAAATATCACCAAGTAGTTT